TCATCACAATTAAAACTCCAAAAGTATTTTTGTGGAATTTAACAATTGGCTCCTGAATTTTATAGTGAAGTTTAAAGGGCCAAGAATAGCAAAGCCACTCTTATAAAAGAGAAATAACACAAGAATATCTGCTCCACCAGATTTCAAGGCCCCTTTTCCATTATGCCATGCACAAAAATGAATTTTATGTGGAGCTATGAAACCTTTAGAAGATAATACCTGAGAATATCATTATGACTTCCAAAGTAGGGACATTCATAATCAAGAAATACCATGCATTAAGCAAAAGGAAAAGAATGATAAACTGAACTACTATAAAATTAAAGATTGTTGTTTATTAAGGTATACCAAAAAGAGAACCAGAGAGGAGAATTGAATTTGCAGCACAAGTAAGTAACAGAGAACTAATGCCTAAAGTATTAAGAAATCATAGAAATCCATAAAGAAAAGACAATTCAATAGAGAGACTTAAACAGATACAAATGGACAATTAACATGTGAATTAATAGTCAGGGAAATGCAAATGAACAATTAACATGTGAATTAATAGGGAAATGCAAACTGAGACCTTAATGATATATCACTATACACCCACTAAATGAGCTAAAATTGAAAAGCTGTACAATGTCAGTATGGTGAGATTACAGAACAAGAACTCTCATCCTGTTGATGAAATGTATATATGAAAAATGCACACACATGCACCTCCGCACATTTACAAAAATGTTCATTGTAGCATTATTCACAATATCCCTATAATGAAAAGATAATTATTAGAATTAACAAGTTATAGTGGGTATTTTTATACAGTGAAACTCTAAGTAGTATATCAGAGCTACAGATAGCATACATTAAGTGGAGAAATAAAGCAAAAACACATAGGAATACATATTCATTTACATAAACATTCTGAAGATTTATATAAAATTTTAAAATTGGCAAGACTGTTACAGAAATGCATACACTGGGCCTGGTGTGGTGGCTCACACCTGTAATCCCAGCACTTTGGGAGGCTGAGGCAGGTGCATCACATGAGGTCAGAAGTTCGAGACCAGCCTGGCCAACATGGTGAAACCCCGGCTCTACTAAAAATACAAAAATTAGTCTGGCGTGGTGGCATGCACCTGTAATCCCAGCTACCAGGGAGGCTGAGGAAGGAGAATTGATTGAACCTGGGAGACAGAGGTTGCAGTGAGCTGAGATTGCACCACTACACTCCAGCCTGGGCGAGAGTGAGACTCCATCTCAAAAACAACAACAAAAAATTGATTAAAAATAAATAAATGCGGCCAGGCGCCGTGGCTCAAGCCTGTAATCCCAGCACTTTGGGAGGCCAAGGCGGGTGGATCACGAGGTCAAGAGATCGAGACCATCCTGGTCTACATGGTGAAACCCTGTCTCTACTAAAAATACAAAAAATTAGCTGGGCATGGTGGCGCATGCCTGTAGTCCCAGCTACTCAGGAGGCTGAGGCAGGAGAATTGCCTGAACCCAGGAGGCGGAGGTTGCAGTGAGCCGAGATTGCGCCATTGCACTCCAGCCTGGGTAACAAGAGCGAAACTCCGTCTCAATAAATAAATAAATAAATAAATTGGCATTTGTTGAAATTTATTTTAGGGCCTTATACCTGATTGCTTTTTTGTAAATATTCAATGTTTATTGAAAAAAATGTATATTCTGCTTTAATTACAGTGAACTTTTTATGTGCAAATATAAATACAATAAGCATACATATATAATACACATATATATACACACATATATATTAGATCAATGTTATTAATTTGTTTGCTTGATCTGCTATTGGAGAGAAATTTATCTTAAAAAAAATCCCACCATGATTGTAGATCTGTCATTTTTCTTTTTCTATTTTTACTTCATATTTTCTCAAGCTTTGTCATTAGCTTCAAACATGTCCCTGATTATAATTTTCCTAGTGGATTTTTCTTCATAACGTAATAAAATGCACCTCTTTGTCACTGTTAATGTTATTCAACCTCTAGAATACTTTTGCTAACTAATATTGCTACATCAAGCTTTTTAAAGAATTTGCCTGGCATATCTTTTTCTATCTCTTTATTTTCTGTATTTTAGTTGTTTAGTTTTAACTATTTTTGATATGTTCGTTTTGTTTTTAATTGTCTTCATAGTAGAACACTGGTCAGCTGGTGAGGTATTTATGTGATTAGATTAGATAAGAGGTGCTTAAACTATGATATTAACCTGTAATCTAGCCTGTACCATCAGCAAATGATATTTCATTTTGAGGCTGTCTCCAGGAAACAGTCTCTCTAAGCCCTAGAAGGTCTTCATTTAAAATCCAGATTTTGTTGGTAGAAGGCTAGCCACTTTATTTTTATATTCTCACTTGTCAAAACATCAAAGAAAGCACTAGCTTTTTATATTAGAAAATGTGTCATTTTCAGGTTAAAAATTTAAAGATTTCATTATTTATATTACTTTATTTTAAAATTTAATTTCTGACATGTGGGCATTGGGTTTTTTTTTTTGTATTCTTACTAAAAGCCTCAAAGAAATATTTTTAAGCAAAATGTTCATATTTTATAGGCTAATAACTTGGTATATGAGAGTTTAGGGGAATTAGAGAGAGTGATTCAATTGGAAGAGAGAGAGAGAGTTGGATTAGAGTTGTGATTGGATTAGGACTGATTCAATTAGGATTTTGATGGTAAATATAAAGCCTGATCTCACATGATTTTTTTATTTAGAGATTTTCTCCTGAAAGAAAATCATATTTCTGGGTCTTATCGTATCTTCATTTGAAATCAGGATTTCAGACTAGCACAATGTAAGTTATTTTCTCCTTTAAAATATAAAACAGATTAAGGCAATAACTTTTTATATCAGAACACAGTTTTTTCTTTTTAAAACTAATTAATTAATTCATTCATCCATTCATTCTTTCTTTTATTCACTCATATGGAAATTGTTTATTGGGTAGCTATTGGTGCCAGGCATTGTTTTAATGCTTGGCCCTATATCACTGAACAAAACAAAGATCCCTGCCCTTTTAGAACTTATGTTCTACATGGGAGAAACAGAGAAAGAAACAACAAATATAATATAACTAAATTACATGGGGTCATAGAAGATGATACATGCCATGCAATTATGTATAATATAATTTGAAAAAATAAAAAGAAGAAAGCAGGGAAAGGGAGATATGGAGTAAAGAATGTTAGGGGACAGAGAAAGAGAACAGGTACAATTTTAAATAGGGATGCCCAAGGTTGGTTGGCCTCCATTTGAACAAAGACTTGAGTAATACAGGGAAGAATTGCCTTGCCAGAGAAAACAGCTAGTGTGAGGGCCTTGAGCAGGAGCAACAAAAGGAAAGAGGTGGCTAAGAAAAGCAGCAAGTGATGAGGTCAAAGAGGTAGGGGAAAGGATAGACTATAGAAAACCTTGAAAACCACTGCGAACACCTTGGCTTTTACTGTGAGGGTAATGGGGGACCAATGCCATCACTGTTTGACTGAATCCGCTTTTCTTTCAATCCCATCCAACTATGTTATTAATTTTTTTAACTGTTGCCAATCTGAGGCTGTAATGTATAATCCATTTTTAGTTTACTTTCATTTTCCTCATTAGAAGGTTGAGTGTCTTTCATGTTTATTGACTATTGTCTATTTGGAATTGCTTTTTCTGAATGGCCTGTTTATATCTTATGTTGATTTTTTAATTGGGTAATTTGTGATTTTTATATTATGTATATCATTAGTAGTAGTAGTAATCCTTGTATGTTATAGGCATTACAAAATTTATTTGCCAATCTAGCATTTATTGACTTGTCTTTGGCATCTTCTGCTATAAAATTAATTTTTGGATAGATAAATTTTAAAAAGTTATTTATTTTTAAAGCTCAAGGTATTCTGCTTTGATTGAAAAATCTTTCAAATTCTAGGTTCTATAAATAGTTTCTTAAATTTTCTTCTTAGGTTTTTATGGTTTCCATTTTCTTTTTTAGGTATTGATTTTGTTTAAGCTTTAAACTGGAATTCCTATGTTACTCCTACCATAAGAAAAATCAGTTTTGCAATCAAGGGCCAAACTACATTGCTTTCATATTTAATTAAATGCCACCTTTGGCATATTAAAATGAAGGAGCATTTTTTAAGGTTAAAATACACTATAACATGTCGAAAAGCTGATAAAAATGATCTGAAAGGGATGGCCTCACAGATCAGAAGAAACAGAAAATATATAGCAAGATGCCAGTGACTATTAGGATCCAGAGCACAGGGGAGAGTTTGGGTCACCTCATGTCCAGTAATACATGGGAATCTGAGGATACAGGAATAGCCAAAGGCAGCTAGATAGATCTGCTGAAAGAAGAGATGAGAAGTCAATGTTTAAGAGCTTCTGTTTTCTCAGAGAAGAATGGGGAGGGAAAAGGAGATGACAGAGGCATGTAGACTTGAAGAAATGGGAATGTGGGAAATTATATTATTGCAGAGGGGGAAAATAAACAATTAGGAGAGTATAAGAGCACTGGCAGGCAGACTTATAAGCCAAACTAGATTTGTGGTAACAGGTTTAAAATTCTTGGGAGGTTATGTGATTTTTGCCAGCTAGGTTAACTGATTGGATGAATTTCAAGATTTTAGTAAACTTAAGTTTCTTTTTCTTAATATTCTCAAACCATTTATGTCAAAAGCTTTAGTTTCAATTTCTTATTAGCACTTTCAGACCATTTAGGTCAAAAGCTTTTAATTTTGTGGATTGATTATATTGTATATTGGTGTTAATGAAATTATAGGGTGGTTATTTGATCTCCATCGGCAGCCAAAAGATTGGATTAGCAGGCTGGGTGTTAAATCAATGGAGGTGATTCACTCTGGGCTAATAAGGACAGTTGAAACATAAAAACTGGGTATTTTCTATAACTGTGTTACCATCTTGCCATTGTTACTTCATTCTTCTATTTCACAGTGCATCATTCATTCATTCATTCATTCATTCATTCAACAAATACTTACTCAGCACCTATTATGTGCCAGGCACTGTTCTATATGCAGAGGATACACCCAGTGAACAAGAGTGACAAGGTTCCTGCTTTCCTGGAACTTATGTTCTAATACAGGAAGATAGACAATAATAAAAATAATATTAATAATAATAGTAGCTAACATTTATTTAGCAAGTACTATTTGCTGAGACAGTTCTAAGCACTTTACAAGTATTAATTCACTTAATCCTTAGTGTCATACTATAAGTTAGGGACTAGAATTATGCCCATTTTACACATGAAGAAACTAAGGGCACAGAAAGAAGAAACAACTTGCCTAAGGTTACAAAGCTAAGAAAGGGCAGAATTGGAATTTAGAACAAAAATGGGCAGGCTGAAGATCTTTTTCGCTTAATGACTTTCCTATGCTGCCTCTCACACAAGAAACAAGGCAATAAAAAAAGAATAGAATAGATTCTGGTAATGTTCAGTGGTTTGAAAAAATGAAACAGAATGATGTGATGGTGTATAAACATAAGTATTGGAGGGGAAGGAGTGGGAAAATCTCACTGTGATACCTGAGACATGAAGGATGGTGACAGTGATCTTGGGGCACAGGCAACAAAGAAGAGCTAGTGCAGAGGCCGTAACACAGAAGGAATCTTGCCCTGCTTTGTAAAACAGAAATCTCCACTTGGCTGTGTCTAGAGCTTAGTGTGAAAGCAAGTCACTGATTGGAAGTGAAGTCTGGAAGATGGGCAGGAGCCAGACTCCGTGGGGTCTCAGGTCACATTAAGAAATGTAATTTTTATTCTAAGTGCAGTGGAATTTTATACGGATAGTAACACCATCTGATTATTTTTAAAAGATCACTCTCTAGGCTATATGCAGCATTGACTGTAGGATAAAACGTGGCCCAGGAAGATACATTAGAAAAAATTACAATCCATGTAGGAGATGGTGTTGGCAAGAACAAGGGTAGTGGCAGTAGAATAGAATTTGTTAAGTTTTTAAAGTAGAGTTGTTAAGACCTGTAAATGAACTGTATGTGAAGAGTGAAGGTAAAAAAATTTAAATAGGCACTCTGGGATTTTGGTTTGAGTAACTAATATGATGACCTTTACTGAGATGTTTAACACTGGAGGAGGGATATCTTTGGTAAGAAAAATCAAGATTTTCATCTTGAACTTTACGAGTGAAAAGGCTTTTTCTGCTTTTTTTTTTTCCCCCTTCATTTAAAAGTTGCAAAGAATTTAGGGATAAGAAAGCATTTAAATTTTCAATTTTGTGAGCTCCTTACATTTTAAACTAAGTTGGGGACGTTGAATTTCCATTTAACAAGTATTTATTGAGTAACTACTATACGTCAAGGTCTACGTGATGATATACCAAGATGAACTAAGCATTCAAGACCTCTGTTCTCAGATTGACTTATTTTTTTATGGAAGGGAGGTGAGACGATTGGTGGGTTTTTTGGTTTTTGGGTTTTCTCCTTTTCGTTGTCTTATTAAAACTTAACACTTGAGTAGCCATCTTAATAACTACACTGTGCTTCTGGCAGTTGGGCCCACCGTTCTAAACGCTGTCGTAAATACTGACATCTCCCCTCCCACAAGAACTAACGTTTTTTAAATAAAAAAATTTTAGCAAACATTACGCATACAACCTTTGCTTTGAAGTGTAATATTTTTGCAGGAATGGTACCTTTATAAAGATCGTGGTTGCCCCGTACTTATTTGTTCTTTCTTCATATCCAATTAAATGAAAACACTAGTTTTTCCGAAGCCCAACTCTCTAGGCTTGTTGGTTCTAGCTCAGGATGGAAGCAGGAGTCGTTGGATTTAAACAGTTTGGTGTAATCCTTTTCCACGCTCTAACCCGCTAGCCGGGGACGTGGTGTCGGCTACCCGGGGCTTTCCGTCCACGCAGTACCGGAATGGAGTCTGGGAGGGGGTCGGGGACGGAAAAGACGGAAGAGACATTAAGTAATTGGTTCTTGAAGGTATAAAATGATGTTTAGGGTCTACTCTAAGGCACTGATTTCAAACGCCCGCCCCCTGGGCCGTTTAGGCCCCGCCCCTTATTGCCCTTACGCCAACTTCCACTTTGGCCTCTGCGGATTGGTTGTTATCTCCGCCTCAGAAGCGCTTGGGTTTTGCTTCCGGGTCATAGGCCTAGCCCTGAACGCAGAGGTTCCTGGGAGCCAAGCGTAGTAATGGCGTCTGTATGATATTCGGAGCCTGCTGCATCGGACCTCGGCCAATGTGAGTGACAGGAGGATAACAGATTATCTTCTTTATCCCGGTAGGACGGGAAAGGGCAGTTGGGATTGGAGTTGGTGGCAGAGTGCTGAGCGCGGGCGGCGGAGGCCCTGAAGCAGCTCGCTAGGGGCGGAACCGAGTGCCTGTCAGGCGCGTCCGGAGCTCTAGGCCTGCGGTTAAGATCGCAGCGTAAAGGCAGCTCGCCTACCGCTTAAAGCGAGCCTCAGGTCCACCCTTCACTACTCCTCGCATCCCTGTAGTGCTAGGCACGGATGAAGAGGTAGCGAGTTTCTGGTTATAGCCAAAGACTAGCTCTCCGGAGGCCAGAGTGATAATTCTGTTGGCGTGTGGGAAGGCGCGGTGCCCCCAGAGCCAGATAATCCTGTTTCTTCTTTGAAGACATGCCTCTACCCTTTTCGGAAATCAAGAGAAATAGACCCCTGCCAAAAAAAAAAAAAAAAAAAAACGAAAAAACAAATCCTCCCAATTCACCCACCCTCCCACACACTTTTCCGACACTTACAGCGTCTTAGTAACTAAATCTGTTAGACAGTATTCTTGTGATTGCGCCAAGCAGAAAATAAAGAATGTGTCCCTGGTTTTTGGTATTAGAATCCTCTGGGGCGAGGTTCTTGTTTTTTTGAACAGTCCTTAAATTATAACCCACAAGAGATCTGAGTTATAATATGATGCCTGTTGTAGAAGAAAATTGGATCAACAAAAGGTTGTTTAAGAATTTTTTTTCTATGTAACTGTCATTGAAGTTTAACACTTTTGCCTAGGGCACTTAATAACTTCGTCAGTGATTTTTTAAAAATTGTTTTTGGCTTTTGTTTCTGTTAGTCTATTTGCTATTGTGTGAAATTTAGATAAAATACAAACCTTAGAGAGTTTGGTGGAGTAAGGTTGAGCTGAGAATTTTTAAAACTCAGTCATGGCAGTACGGTATTTTATAAGGGTTTTGACATGTCAAGTGTCGTAATTCTTACAATAATCCTAGGAGGAATATCTCCATTCCGCTGATGACAGAAAGTTAAGCTAGGTGACTTCGTGAAGCCCACAGAGTCAGAAGAATAGGGATGCAAACTCAGATCTTCGTGACAGAATTTTTTGTACTAAGACATGTCTGGGAATCCATATTCCTTGTACTGCCTAAGCCTCATAATTTTTTTTCTTGAAAACTTTTGTTTAAGAAGATTAAGCAAGTTTTGGGGAATGAGTTTTAGAACTTATATCACCAGGATGGATATTGATTAATACTCTAAAATGAGAGTTCGTAATGTTGGAAATAACTTGATACTATTTTTCTTCAAAGCATAAAAGATGACAACTGCAGCCAGGCCAACCTTTGAACCTGCAAGGGGTGGAAGAGGAAAAGGAGAAGGTGATTTGAGCCAACTTTCAAAGCAGTATTCAAGCAGAGACCTACCTTCTCATACAAAGATAAAATACAGGTAATAAGACTTTTTTGTTGTCGTTCGCAAAACAAGACCAAATCTGTTAAATGACATGGTCATGATATAGTAGTATGTTTGAGTTATGTTACTTATTTATTTTCATAGACATAGAGTGCAACAGGATGTTTAACACTAAAATTTTGCTCTATGATTTTAAAATGCAAAATTCCTACTAACCAGGAATTTTCATATGTAGATAGAGCAATAAATAATATAAATAATAATGCCTCAGAGAGACTATGCACAATCAGCACCAGTCAATATATTAAAAATGTTACTGTTCTGAGTTGATATAATACTAATTACAGATATTTTAATCTGTGTAAAGCCGGCTGGGCGCAGTGGCTCACGCCTGTAATCCCAGCACTTTGGGAGGCCGAGGCGGGTGGATCACGAGGTCAAGAGATCGAGACCATCCTGGTCAACATGGTGAAACCCCGTCTATACTAAAAATACAAAAAATTAGCTGGGCATGGTGGTGTGTGCCTGTAATCCCAGCTACTCAGGAGGCTGAGGCAGGAGAATTGCCTGAACCCAGGAGGTGGAGGTTGCGGTGAGCCGAGATCGCGCCATTGCACTCCAGCCTGGGTAACAAGAGCGAAACTCCATCTCAAAAAAAAAAGAAAATCTGTATAAAGCCTTATCATGGGAAAATACTGAATTTGGATTTCTCGAAATATTGGGAACATCACAGGAGTGGCTGTTAGTAACCCTCAGATTAGCTTATGGTCTTGTCTACTTCCCTTTTTTATGCTTGAAGGACAAAGTCTCATTCTTGAATTGTCTTCCATTACTACAGTTGTGTGTGTGTGTAAGTAACATTTTTGCCCTGGCTCGTTTTTACTTTAGACAAACTACTCAGGATGCCCCTGAAGAGGTTCGTAACCGTGACTTCAGGAGAGAGTTGGAAGAAAGAGAGAGAGCTGCTGCAAGAGAGAAAAATAGGGATCGTCCAACCCGAGGTACCAACACTATCCCAGACATTTGTCTCATAAAATTATCTTTTTGATAGTTTTTCTTTCATGTAGCAACTGGAAAATGTTAACCATTTGTTTGCTTTTACACTTGATGTGAGTTATAATATTTAAGTCATTAGAGATGATAATAACAAATATTTACCAAAAGCATATTTGCCAGGCACTGTGGATATGATTTCTGTTGTCATAAATGCTTTTAACGTGGGCTCTTTGTACCCACAGGTCCCTAAAACATTGTAAGAAATGCAGTATTTGTTTTACTAAGTTAAATGATTTTTGTTTCCCCCAGAACATACAACCTCCTCTTCAGTGTCAAAAAAGCCACGGTTAGACCAGATTCCTGCTGCCAATCTTGATGCAGATGACCCTCTAACAGATGTATGTTTTGTTTCCTCCTTTCATCTCTATCTAATAATTGATTTACCATGTTTTTCTAAAATACTTGTTGTGCTTTTGGCTTTAAGAAGTGACCTATATTTATGTTTACTTACTATTATTCAGATATAGCCCCAACGTCAGTGCTAAACTGTATAGTTGATATTAAAACAAAAAGTATTTTGTGGTAAGGACCTTAAGATCAAGTTTGATCTCTAGAGAACCAAAAATGGAAGGAACTTATTAAAGGATATGCTTTCCCCCAAAATAATGCCCTGTACTAAACTACTGCACTGCTGCTGGATTTCATATCTCTACAGGGCACTCTTCACACTGGGCTCTCTGTGAACAGTGCCCTCTAGAGTTGTACCCGGCGGCCTTTTTACATTAGATATGATGCCCCCTCCATTAAGTGCAAGGCACTTAATGGTTCCCTCTGCTTAGGGAGGGAAGTAATCTAAGCAGAAGGTTTTTAAGGATTAGCACATCAGTTAATGTTAAAATCCTGTGGGACCTTAGAGCCTATAATTAATTTGCAGTTTTCTACATATAGGACAGTGAAAAAACCTGAGTGGCATCCAGTGAGTAATATCTAACTATTTATACACATCAGCAGTTAATTCTAGAGTGAAATGATAGAGTTACTCATAATAGTTAAAACAGGAAACCTACTTTCAAGTGAAATTTAATGGTTATTCATTTGAAATTATTTTTTTCTGATAATTTAGCACACTTTTTTGCACTTTTGATTACTTGCTAGCTTAAAGTTGTTTTGAGCTACATAAAATTGTTTTGAGTCTCTTAGGGTGATAAATGGTACATATGTACTACGTTTTGGTAATGTATATTTTCTGTCTAATCTTATGGACTTTCACTGTTCTTTTAGGAGGAAGATGAAGATTTTGAAGAAGAAAGTGACGATGATGATACTGCAGCTCTTCTTGCAGAACTGGAAAAAATTAAAAAAGAAAGAGCTGAAGAGCAGGCCAGGAAGGTAAAACCAAAGTGTTAAATATTTACATCTCTCTAGCTTCTCATATATACTAAAGTAGCAAGTTTTTTAAAATATAAGTAATATCTTCTTATATTGGAAATTTCCCTTGCCATGTCTAAATATTTAGCACTTGTAGATCTATAAATCTGATTATTTGTATGACATCCTAGGTATCCCGGTTATGTAAAAAATTCTTTCCAAATAGTTCAAATACATTGAGTAATATTCACCAGCTTGCTAGTCATTTACTTGTGTATTCATTTGTTCAGCATTTACTTGGTGTTTGTTAATTGACAAGAGAATCAAAGATGATCAAGATATAGTCATGGTCTGCAAAGATTATCTCTCTGTTGGCCTCCTGCCTAGGTACTAGTAAGGCAATCTGTCAATAGATTTCATAAAACCTAGGTCAAGCTATCTAATTTCTCCGAGCCTCCACAGTTTCTCGGTCTCTCCATTTATACAGTATGAGGAAAAAATATAAAACTCAAAGATAGTTAAAACTTTGAATGAATTATCCAGAGTGATGTTAAGAGGTAAAACTGAAGTGGCAAGAAGAAGTCAGAGCATTAGAGGTTGGCAAAATTATGCTGATGGAGTCTCAATTTTTTCTAAAGGATATGAGGAGCCAGTTGATTTCAGCAGGAGATTGATAAAATTGGATATGCATTTTATAAAGATT